TTTTTGCACAAAACTTAAATACATTTATCTATTACTTTACTTTGTATATTTAACCAAAAAACCTCTTTTAAAGGTAAAGGTAAAGGTTCCCTTACTCGAAAGCCATTCGAGTCCGACTCTAGGGTTGCGGTGCTCATCTCCATCTATAAAATAGATACCAATATATGTCGAAAATTTCTTCATCTTTTCCTTGTATGGTAAAAGTTAACTTCTCCATCTCCACTACATCAAATATTTTATATAAAAATTCTTCCCTTAGATGAGATGTTTTCATTTTTCCAAAATTTTGCAAAGACAATCCTTGCTGCAGTCAAAATTTGCATAATCAGATATATCTCATGTTTTTTAAATGTATCAAGAATTATATTTAGCAAGAAAAATCCTGGTGTTAACATTATTTTTATAGCTAATATCTCCTCAATAACCTCTTTTATCATAATCCAATATTCTCTAGCCTTTTTGCATAGCCACCACATATGGAAAAATGGACCGTTGCTATGTTTACATTTCCATTTTTTTTAACATTGTTAATTACATCATATTCAAAGTTTAGCCAATATATTTTTGCACAAAACTTAAAGACATTTATCTATTACTTTACTTCGTATATTTAACCAAAATTAAACTCTTTTAGCCATCTATAAAATCGATACCAATACCACCACTGACCCCAGCCACTTTCTAAAAATACTTGGTGGGCACCAGGAAAGGTGTTGGCAGATGGCGTGGCATCCACGCAGGGCTGCAGCTAGTGTGGGGCCCACGGGGCAGTGCCCCCCCTGAATTCGCAATGCCCCCTCATCTGGCTGAGGGAGAGGTGGAGGCAGTGGGCCAAGCAGGCAGGGCTGGGGTGTGGATGAGGCCTCCCTGGGATGCGCATCCAGGCCAGAACTTTTCTTTCCCAGTTGCTGGCCTTGACCTTGAAGGTGCCTGTATGGGCTTCAAGTTCGCAGTGCCTGGCCACTCCAGACGGGTGGCCTTTGGCAAGCAAGCTCATCCTCTCGCCTGGCCTGCAAGCGTCCCTCTAGATGAGGCCAGCATGCATTGTGGTTCCAGGAAGGGGCTGGCCATGGCCGGGCTGCCCCTCCCCTAGATGGGTTGCTGGCCGGCCCCTTTTCTCCCTGCGCCATCAGCCGCACCGCCTCCTTACCCTCCCTCCATGAGCTGCAGACTGACACCAAGTTCCAGCTCACCACCTTCACACCACTCATCTAGTACGGCTGTCCAGTCAGCTGCAGGGGGGTGCTCCTCGCCACCCCCTCATCCCCTCTCTCGCCCTGTATTTATTTCATGGAAGATTCCTTACAACTCATGGTGACCCCATGGCATTTTTAATTATTAAATTTAATGTAATTAATTGTGTTAGCCATCATGCCCTCTCTTTGCCCCCCCCCACGAGAAACGAAGAAGAGATTGGATTTATACCTTACCCTTCACTTGGAGTCTCAGAGCGGCTTACAAACTACTTTCCCTTCCCTTCCCCAGAACAGACACCCTGTGAGGTAGGCGGGGCTGAGAGAGCTCTGACAGAAACTGCCTTTCCCAGAACAGCTCTGACAGAACTATGGCTTGCCCAGGGTCATCCAGCAGGTGCAAGTGGAGGAGTGGGGAATCAAACCCGGTTCTCCCAGTTTAGAGTCTGCACACTTAACCACCACACCAAACTGGCTACACCAAAAGGTCTAGCTATGGGGCTGCGTCCACGGGCACCACATTGGTGGCCCCTGGTCTAAGCTTTAACTGAGCAGGAATAAGGACCAAGCTAGACATTACGACATCTAGGGGTTGGACCTGTGGATGCCACCGCCATCTTAGGCCATTTAAATATGCGCTTGAAAAGGCACAGGGGAAGGGGGAGGCCATTCTCGATGCACCCAAGTTCAGTTCTAAAATGGCGGCGGCACCTGTGGATCCATCCTGCGGATACCGTACTGTCTGCTCTGGCCCTGAGCTAAAGCACTTCCCCAAACTAAGGCCTCTTCCACACTGCCATTTTTGTCACTCGTTTGTCCCTATTGCTTTGGGGGTCTGTCCGTCCCCGTTCCACATGCGTTTTGCTTCCTCTGGGACTACTAGAGAGAGCAAAACACAGTGTGTGTGTGTGGGGGGGAACCCTGAAGCAATAGGTACACACAAGTGATGAAAATGACAGTGCGGAAGAGGGCTCAGTCAGACATGATCAGGGACTGTATAGTTTCTTTGCCAGTTTAGTGTAGCGGTTAGGAGCAATGCTCCCTCTAAGCTGTGGAGTCTTGTGAGCAGTGCTACTGGCCTTAAAGTTGTGAGTGAGCAATTTGGCTGCTGCATAAATTAGTTTGCTCTGGAGCCACCCTTCTTGAACTAAGACAAAAATGTGTGAGCCGGAGGCTAAAAAACTGTGAGCTGGCTCACACTCGCTCAGCTTAGAGGGAACACTGGTTAGGAGCGTGGACTCTAACCGGGTTTGATTCCTTACTTCTCTACATGCAGCCAGCACAGCCCACAGCCATGAAGATGTTAAAGTGAGACCCAGTGACACACCCACCTCTTTAAAAGTCTGAAAAAACAGAGATAACTCAAAAGTCTTATCTGTGGGGTGCAGCTAGGCGCATGGTTGGTGGTTCAAGAACTTTTCTGCTTTCCTTCTCCTCCCCCTTTTTCTCCAACATTTGTGCCTTTGAGAATATTTGTCGTGCTCTGAAGAAACATCGTATGTGCCAGATATAAATTCTGCATTTTGTGAGAAGGAAACATGAGTGCAAACGTCGTGATTCTCACTCGGGGTGCGGGAATGTAGCAGCGGAGGGTGTTTAAACAAATGACTGCAGCCTGGAGGAAAATCGACAAGAGTGTTCGTTTTCAGCTGGCAAAATGACACCATCTTGGTGCAGCTTTTAGAAATGCTGCAACTTTTCCAAAAAAACCTTAAAGGCATTAACCAATCAAGGAGTTAGGCGCTCTGGTAACCCTGCAGGCCATGCAAAGATTCCTCTAGATAATACATAATCAGATTGTGGAGGAAATCTAATTTGGAAGGTCTTCTGCCGGCCAAAGGTAGCACAGAGGACATTGCCAGGTTACTCAAGCTTCTGCTATGACCATTACTAACATTCTGTCTCACGATGTGGTTCAAGGGCATGAGGAGTACTTGTCTGCCTTTAATAAATTGTCTGCCTGATAGTTTAACAAGATGTACCACTGGAAGGGGTTTGGTATTTTTGTTGCAGAAAGTTCCAACCCTCAAGTTACCGACACCCTCTAGCTTCTGCTCCCATGTAGTCCCATCCCAATCAATGCTCCCTTTAAGCTGTGGAGTCTTGTGAGCAAAATTTCTCCTTCGTGAGCTACTGGCATTAAAGTTGTGGGCAAGTGATTTGGCTGCTGCATAAATTAATTTGCTCTGGAGCCCTCCCCTTCCTGAGCTAAGACAAAAACGTGTGAGCCGGAGGCTAAAAAAACTGTGAGCTACTAGAAATGTAAAATTTCCGGAAATTTTGAAGCTCGAAAAAAACCCGTTTTTTTTCTGGTTTTTTCCGGGGGAAAATTGAAATTTTCGGAAAAATTGAAAAAAATGCTACATTAGCATTTCTTTTGTCTTTTCAAGATTGAAAGTCATTCTGTTACTTTAGGAACATAAAATATGACTATGGACATTTTTACTTGGCATGAAATTATCACAACTAGCATATTAAAAATATAGTGTATCAAACAATTATTACAAACAGAATACCCACCCACATGCAAAAACAAAACTGAAACTTTTTTATTTTCTTCTGACAATCGCACCTCCTAAAGGAAGAAATGCATCTTGTTCTTGCATTGGAGAGTTCAGTTTGTAACCTAGGACTTGCTTGTCCTCAGTGCACAGAAATTAGATCAATCTGATACCATATATATATTTTTTAGAAATGATTTGGAAAATATTTGAACACCTTGTCTTAAAATATTTTATTCATCATGTTAAAATAAAACGTTCCATAATCAATTTTTTTTTCTTTTTTCAATTTTTCCAATTTTTTGGAAAAAAACAAAAAAGGTTTCAGGAAAAAAACAGTTTTTTCCCAAATTTTTCCGGTTTTTTTCCGGGCCTTCACATCTCTATGAGCTAGCTCACACTGACTCAGCTTAGAGGGAACACTGATCCCATCTCTTGCAGCTCAGGTAGTATTGAAATGGGGAGACGCCATGGTAGGGCTGGATGAATGGTTACAGGCACTACTGGTACTGCCATCTCCCAGGGAGAGAACAATGTTGCTGTCAGTCGTAACATGCCCATGTGACCCTCTCGATTCAGCAGCGCCAAGACAGAAACACATGGGACTTGCAGCTGGCTCTTTTAAGTTGAATTTGAGGGTGTGTGTGTGTTTGTGGGGGTGTTCTTTCTCATTACTTAAATATTCGTGTACAGAGTTAAGGCACAGTATGTGGAGGGGGGAAAGGAGGTGAACTAGGACTCAAATATACTTGTTGGGAGGGACCCTCTAGAAGCATTTAAAAAACTATTTGCCATTTAGTGCAAGGAGATGGCGTCACTCTAGCAAAACTGAAGTAAGTGTTCATGTGCCATTCGGCTAATTATCATTCTTTAAATGTGGCTTTTGAATGCAAGCAACAAGTGCAGAGGCCCTGTTCTCGCCTGATATTTCCCATCAACGGCTCCCCTCTCATTTTGGGAGAGAGAGGCTGTTTTCCACGTCTTTTAACATTTATGGAAGTCGGTACGCCCACAAAAACGATGCATTAAGAGTCGAAATCTATTTATAATCTTAATCGTGCATTTGTATATCCTGCTTTTGTTCTACTGTACAAGCTGCTGTAATAGTTTTAAAAAGGCCATGTTGTTCTATTTGCCAGATTTGATAACCAATCGCATTGTTCGGGGGACGAACAGAAAATTGGCATTTTGATGGGAAGGCCTGACAGGCGTTTGTTTAAGATCTTGACCTTCGTCTTGCTGCATAGCTAATTTTCCCTGCCTTCTGTTCCGCCGCTTAATTGCATTCGTCTTCTGTCTCCCTTAGGCCGAGGCTGCAAGCACAGAGGAAGTTTGCTCAGTCCCAGCCAAACAGCCCCAGCACAACTCCCATAAAGATAGTGGAGCCATTATTGCCCCCTCCAGCAACGCAGATTTCTGACCTCTCCAAAAGGAAGCCCAAGACGGAAGATTTCCTTACGTTTCTCTGCCTTCGAGGTGAGACTCCCCCCCCTCCTCCCCTCCGTGCTGCATCAAAGGAGGGAAGCTAACAATGAAATTCCAAGAGCTGCGGTCCATGTGCCCGTTCCTTGCTATTATATATTTCGCCTCTTGCAATCCGAGGGTACCTGTGGCAATACCAAACAGTCATTAAAAGGGCCGTGGTCTAGAAATAGACCAATAGGGCCATAAATGGGATTTTGCTTTGCTTCACTCTTGTTCACTGGGAAAAGGCTTTACTTTCTCTGTCATTCCATCTCTCACCTTGTCTTCCCGCATAAGCCGTGTTTGTGTTTTAAATGGATGAAACCGATGGCACAAGACCTATTGACTCAATCAAGCTCCACTGCAGTCTCTAGTACCGATTTGTTTCCGCTAGGCTGCTCTGTAATAAAGTGCATGTGGGTCACATTCAACATCACATTTGGGAATCCTGCTCTCTGAACTGTATCCCACGCAGTGCGTCTGTATAGAAGACTTGATGGTTGTTCTTATCTAGGACTTCCATCTTCTATTGGAATTGCTGCTTATTCTGCTGCCACACAGAATCATAGAGTCTTAGTGTTGCAAGGGATCTCCAGGGTCATCTAGTCCAACCTCTGGCACAAGGCAGGAGATTCACAAATGCCTTCCCCCCCACACCCCCAGTGACCGTTCCCTCTAAGCTATGGAGTCTTGTGAGCAAAAATGCTACTTTGTGAGCTACTGGCATTAAAGTTGTGAGCAGGTAATTTGACTACTGCATGAATTAGTTTGCTCTGGAGCCAGCCTTCCTGAGCTAAGAAAAAAATGTGTGAGCCAGAGGCTAAAAAACTGTGAGCTGGCTCACACTAACTCAGCTTAGAGGGAACACTGGCAGTGACCCCTGCTCTATGCCGTGAAGGGGGGGGTACCCCTCAAGGTCCCCAGCCAAATTGCCCTGGAGAAAATCGCTTCCTGACCCCAAAGTGGCTATCAGCATTACCCTGGGCGTGTAAGAAAGGGCCACAAGAATTAAGCATTTTGAGGCAACCCTTCCTGCCCTCCCTCTCATGATCTGCCTGAGTTCACAATATAAGCATTGCTGCCAGATGGCCATCTAGACATCAAACAATAGTGGCTATGGTTTTGGTTTTCTTTACATCATTTCTGAATCACTGGATAATTTAAGGAGCGGTGCAGTTAAGTTATATGCACTGTAAAACCAATGTTCTAGGTTGGCCCCGGGTCCTATACCTGAGCATTAAAAAAAAAAAAATAAGCAACTAAAATCTATTCAGTAGCATCTTGTCATACCCATGTGCCTCATATCCGGGTATGTGATTTTGTCAGGTCTACACTATATGACACATTAAAGCAGCAGCCGCTTGGGAGGAAGGGAGATTTTGACGGCGGTCACAGGCCCAAGGAGAGGATGAACAATACACCTTTTTTTCCCATACCAGAACAAGTAGCAACTTCTGGGGAAGGGGTGAACCTCTGTCACCTCGCATGTTAGTCCCGGTCCAAATATCACCCCTGTGGCAGTTGCTGTTCATAGAGGTATAAAGAAACAAGATATCTGATCCATGATTGCCAATATCTTGTTAAGCTTGGCCCAGAGGGAAAAGTGTTTGGATGTAATAATGATCCCTTAATGATTGCTTTAGAACTTTTTTTTCCCTTCACATTTTTAAAATCACCCTTTTAAAAGAAAAGAAAAATTCCTATTATGGTACAGTGCAATCCTAAACAGTTATTCACTTCTTAAACCCGTTGATATCAGTGGGCTCAGAAGGGTACAACTTTGCTTAGGACTACACTGTGAATCACATTACACACACACACCCCCCAAGTGACTTCACAAATAATGTTTTCCTTTTCTGCAAAGCCTCTAATACTGAGGCACAGGTCTCTTTACTCAGGGAATAAGGGGTAGAGTTGCCAAATGTGGCTGGGAAATTCCTGGGGGTTTAGGGGTAGTGCTTGTGGATGGAGCTCTTGTGGATGGAGCTCTTGTAAGACGGAGCTCTTCTACCGGGCTTTTAGTTGAGGCAGCGGACATCCCCCCCCCCTTCTGATTGGCCTCCCATCAGTATCCTGAGCTTGAGTAACCATCTGGGAACTATGCCATCATTTTTAGCTACTGAGTTATTAACTGGAGTCTGCACTGTATTTTATGATTGTATGATTACTTTATTGTTTAATCTCATTTTAAATTGGTTTTAACTGTCCTTGTATATTGTTTTAATACTGATGGTTACAACAACAGTACAGCACACAGTAAAAAGTAGCAAAGAATAATAAAAAAAAACAACTGTGAGCCGAATTTCCCGCAAAATATTCACAAAGGAGACTTCATCAAAGTGAAATGCATCTATTGTCTGGAATAAATCTATCCATATAATCCATCATAGGAGAATGTAGAAGCCAAAGAAGTTCATCATAGGAAAATGCAGAAGCCAAAGAATAAATTATACAAGATAAATATCCAAAAAGTCCAAAACTTTTCCTAGGTATTTTTTTCCAGTGTTTCAGACTTCTGGTCCCTCCTCAGGAACAAAGAACAACTACTCAGCATCTCATTCCATCTCCTTTTAAGATAATGCTTTTCTGTTACTTCAGCATTGAGCAGGGTCTCCTTAGCTCTAATCTGCACTCCTAAAGGCTGCTTCAATGTATCAGGACCAAAACATTCCTCCAACACTGATGGAACCCTCCCTGAGCCTCCTTGCAGGGAGGGTGGGATACAAGTTGTCATGGCTCAGGTGGGGTGTCACCTTACACTGCCACCACTCTGGAATGAGGATCCCTTGAGAAGGCCCAGAGCACCCTCCCAAGACCTTCAGACCTCCCTTTTGGCCGAGTAATAGGCGTGAGGACCAGGCAGAGTGAACAATGAAACTAGTTTATTTTATAGGAGGTCAAACAAACAAGGTGCAGGAATAATAACAGTAAGTGGGTGAAAAGAAAAGAAATCAAATGCCCGAACGCGTCTAAATATACACTGTCCCTAGCTCACTATCTCAAGTGGCCTTAAACTACTCACCCTTCCCTCAGGGTGAGGGTTTCTTCCCCACAACAGCCTCTCTGGCACAGTTCCCTGGGAAGAAGAACAGCTTTCCCTCTTGCACCAGTTCTTTTATTCCCCAACCCTCTTCTTCCCTATTGGTCAAAATCAGTGCCCAAACTTCCCAAGGCCTTCCGAGGTTTGTAGGCCCAGCCTCTCCTACTGCTAGCCAGGCTCCCTGGGCCTAGTAGGCCTCTGGTGGCACAGCCCAGATCATGACACAAGTTTAAAAAAATAAATAAATAAACAAATGGGAATTTGTGGAGGGATTTCACCTGAAATCTGTGGTATGCTATAGAATCTGCTGATAGTCTGGAGATCAATTTGTAATTTCAGGAAAACTCCAGACTCCACCTGGATGTTGGTAACCTTCAAAGTTTTCTTTTCCTCCATCTTCTCCTTTTTCTCTAGTTGGGAAAGATCGGGGAGATCAGAAGGCAAAGTCTGGGTAGGGGAGGGACCTTCGTGGGGATGTGGTACCATAGAGTCCTGCACACCAAGCTACCATTTCCTCCAAGGGATCTCTGAAGTCTGGAGATCAGTTTTAATTCCAGGAGGACTTCACCTGACTTATAGAGGTTGACAGCCTTAATCAGGCTCCACCATCCTTGCTGCATCTTCACTCTAAGTCTCCTTTCTCAAGCTGCTTTTCCGTAGAAGAAGCAGCGACCCAAATTTTGATACGTATTTTTTTTTCAGGCTAGCAGGCATATACACATGAAGAGCCTCTTACTGTACTAGAGTGCACTTAGCATAACAGGTAACCTTCAGCATTGTAGCTATCCACGCAGCTAATAAATAATGGTAAATAAAACAGTTTCCCTCTTAGAACAGGAAATGACTTCCAGTTATCTTTTCAGTGATCAATCCAGAAGAGTGGTGTTTTCTTTCTGTGCATCACAGGTTTTAGAATTTGTACATTTTTTTATCTTGAGAGTTGGACTTTGAATTTTATTTTCTCCTGAACCCATGCCCGAGAATGTTTGTTTTCCCCCCCCCTCTGTTGCTTTCTAGCTTTCACCTATGTTGTCAGCCTTCTTTAAGCTGTAGGCCTGCCAGACACACGGGTACAGCTACTTTCTGAATGGGTGTGTGTGTTAATTCCACTGTGTTTCGCGTGTTTACAGATGCTTACAGATAAGTCGTCTTCCCCCTACACAGCTTCCTAAACCGAATAAGACAGGTCTTTTGGATTTGCATAGTATGAGTTTAATTGCCATAAGAATTATTGCAGTCTAGGATAAATCTCTTCCTTTTCTACATAACACAGATCAGTGACTAGGAAATAGCTTGGCATTCTCTTTTGCCATGTTTCTATATAAAGACCTTCCATGGTAGAGAAGAACAGTTTTCTCCTCTGTCCACCACCACCACCACAGAACAATATCTCAAATAATACCTGCCACCCCTCTGATAATGTAATTATTTGCTGCCTCTCAGCTTCCTTCTTCCAGACTCTAAAGTTGCCTCAATGCCCGTTTTCATGCCTGTACTGTGATGCCTAAACCCATTTTATCAGCTGCTAGAAGAATAGATGCTTTTGAATTATGGTGCTAGAGAAGACTCTTGAGAGTCCCTTGGACTGCAAGGAGGTCAACTCAGTCAATCCTAAAGGAAATCAACCCTGACTGTTCCCTAGAAGCCCAGATGCTGAAGCTGAAGCTTAAATACTTGGCCACCCAATGAGAAGGGAGCCCTCCCTGGAGAAGACACTGATGCTGGGAAAGATTGAAGGTAAAAGAAGAAGAGGACAGCAAAGGATGAGATGGTTAGACACTGTTATCGAGGCAACGAACATGAAATTAAGCAAACACAGTTGGGCTTGACTGTGCAACTGAACAACAGTAAAAGTCTTAGAATGGTGCTTTAGGATCACATGGTTCTGGATACAGCCAACTGATTGCCCAAGCAAGCTGGAGGCAGCATTACCAGTGATTGAAGTATTAGTTGAAGTAGTATGCATGGATGT